CGTAATATGAATACATGGCAGGTGATAAGGTTTCCTTGCTGCTATGGTAACTTAAGATGAGTTCCTTGCCACAGTACTAACCCCCTTTTCCTCCATTATACCCTGAAGCCTACAGCCCATTTCGAGGACCCTATGTTACGGTAACTTCGCTTAAGTTCCTGAGACATTAGCTCATGCTGGTGTTCAGGGTTCTCCAAGCTACAGTGCTGTGCTTCTGCTTGGCGCAGGGGCTTAGTGACTGGGTTCATAGTGGGGATGACTGGGCTATTATATGGTTTGCAGGGTTTTTTAGCACCCTGATCCCCAAAGGAGGCTAGACAAAGACTGTTGCGGGTTCAGATAAGCTCGTGTGGATCCTGAAAGAAAGACGTGGGTTGGCATGTTGGGCGACCAACAGACAGCGCTCTTACAAACATGCAACTGCATATAGCAGCCTCTGAAAAGGACGTGGTCTGTATGGGGACCCTTTTCAGGCTTCACATTGTTTTGGGTGGAAGCCTTTCTGGACCCCCCAAATGACTCTTAAACCTTGAGCCCGAAAGTGTGAAATCACCCAGCTTCTATGCTATTGTCCATCTGCTTTTCCCGTTGATTCTCCATTCCCTTAACCCTAAGCCCTATAGCCCTTCAAAGACAGGTTTAGGGTTTTAGGGAAACCTCGAACGGAACATCCCGAACCCTGCCATTTGGACTCTGATTGCCCAAGCCCTAAACTCCAGGTTCATCGTCAGCCCGCTGATGCTTTGATATTGTTGAGTCGCATTTGCACCATTTTGCATGTTCATGAAGTTCATGGTTCTTGATAGAGGTCCGAAAGGATAATGTTCTCAAATGCTTAAGCCCAAGGGGCTCAATGGAAATTATCGCTTCTGATTTCTGATAGTACCGTGGCGAAAGCCCAGCATAGCCTCACAGGCATCGCTATAGTCATAATTATACACTCTAATCCGATCATCCTTTGGTACATCTTGTATTGCATCCTTTGGTAGCCCTTTAAGAAACTGTGGCGGCTGTGGTCCTGAGCCGTACCCCCCTTATACGATCCCCTCGTATTCAAGGATGATTAGGACGGAATCCATGACTTAATAAACNNCCCTAACAAGAGCCGAGGACGGATGTCTTTGTGGATCCGAACAAGGATGTCACCAAAGCCCTGTCCCTGGGTGCACCGAAGGCCACGGTGGGTTTAGGATTGAGGTTTTGGGGTTTTTGGGATTTAGGGTTCAAGTTTTAGCATGAATCAACATGGCAGACTGCCAGGCACATTGACCTTTCAGATCGGATGAGATGGCTATGGCCGTTCAAGATTGCTGCTTGCAAATCTCAGCTATTGCGATAGCATTCTCATCCATATTATTCGTTGTTATTCCTGTGCTGGCTATTGATGTCATGGTTGGCTCCACCATCATGTGGGATTGGCCCTGCTACTGTTGAAAGCTTGAGGGTCTAGGGTTGAAGCGTTGAGCAAGTCCTGAGTCTACGCTGCATTTGTCATCCTGGCCATATTCAAGTCATAAGAGGCATTCGAAACGTCTTGTTTCATGTCTGATATCATTGTCATTCCGAGGTGTATTGCTCTTATGTTAGGATTGCATGCTGCCATGAGGTTTTTTTGGGCAAGGTACAATTGCCTTGAAGCCTATATCCTATATGCTGCGGAGGCCACGGCCATGCCAGCAGGAGTGACGGGCTGCCCGACTGACATGGACTGCAGCAACTACTTCTGCATTTCTTCGGCCATGAGCAAGAACTGGAAGAAGGCGGGAAAACGAAGGTTTCTGCAATGCCACATCAAAACCATGAATTGCTGTCACGGAGACCCAAGCCTGCTTGCGTCGGTGAGTTCCCTTGTTTGTTTTTCCCCAAAATTCCAGTACTTGTTTCAGAAGCCGGACCAACTCTTGATGTGATCTAGAGTCTGTTT